GTACTGAAATCACCATCACAGTCCACCAGACATGCTCTCATTCTACAGTCCCGGGCAGCGTGCGCATGCAAGTGCACACACATAGTCTGTCTTTAGGCTACATTCATTTTAACCCCAAGTCATCAGATACAGTCATTTGCTGATGCAGAGGTGGAGTGTGATGTTCAAAGGATGGATGAAACTTTCCCAAATAGCTGTCCCACTGAAAGCACAGTAATAGAAGAGAATTCTGGCTATAAACTCTTCCCTTCCTGCTACTGGTGACCTGCTGATACATAGACAACTAAAAATGACTCAGTAAAGCATTATGTGTATCTTCAAATGATATAACAGTGTTAAGAGGGGACAGCTAAAGGTAGCATAACTACAACATGAGAGTTGGGGTAAGCCTGGGGTTTAGTGTGTGGTTTTTCTGTCTTGTTTTCTTTAAATCAGACTAGTTTGGCATATGTAACCCATGCTGTCTCTCAACTCATTTATTCATCCATAATTCATGGAATCAAACTGCTTATTCCAAGTCCCCACATTGTATTAGTCTCCCTCCATCTGCATATATATTCTCTCTATATATATTTATATGTGTATGTGTATATCTCTATATATCTACATATATACACATACATAGCAATTGTGCAGCTAGTAACTTTCCACGGAGAGCATGTGAGTGTATCCATTTCATTTGGACAAATATAAATCAACTAGCGTGTCCTGATGTGAGGCAAGAGAATGGTGCAGTCAATGGGTTATGTGTTTTACGTAGTAAAATAATCAGCTGTATCTGCTTTCAATAGAACAGTTGTAATGATAATTACTAATGTACTTTGCATGTTAATTCTAACAATTAGAGAGCACAGAGTTAATTGAAAGAAAAGAATTGCTATTTGAGTTATTTTTGTTAGCATTGGATGATGTATCTCAGACAACAGAGTTTCTAGAGATGCAATAAAGGGAAGATAGGATCAAAGTTTTGCCTTAGACTTGGTGTTCTCAAGCTGATGTAACTTTAATTTATCTTGTGGTGTTTTTTTTTTTAAATTAAGACATTATTAAATCCACTCGGAAAGAAACTTAGCCTTTAGACAAACAGCGATGTAAAATTCTTTGTGTATAAAATTTTGTTATGTTTCAAGTGGCTGAGTGCATTAGTAGCAATCGAGAAGAACGGCAGCTTTCTCAGTATTTCAGACAGGAGGTCTTTGCAAAGGAAAGACCGATGATGTGAAAGTTGTTAATATAACATGTATCTGTCTTTTAACAAATGAGATTTGCATTATAGTGATCCATAACTTAAATGACTACGCAAGAGACTAGAAAAAATTGACTACAGAACTCAGCCATTTCAAATAAAGGTTAAACCAAATTATGCTGGGTGCCTTAAAGTGGTCAGTGAAGGGAGTGAGTCATCTGTGGGAGGCATCTAAGCTGTAGGTTTCTCTGTACATCACACAAAATACAGACTTTTAATAATATATAAGCAGTAAACAATCCTGTGACAAATATTGCTGCTTTCCTGTTCACAGCAGACCAGGAAAAAGCAACATGTGGGGAGGTTTAGATGAAAAAATTAATCTAAATATAATTAACTAAATCTCAAACAATTCTAGTAATGGAGTTGCTCTTTGATTTACACCAGTGTAAACGTGATGAGAACAGGGCTCAGAAAGTGTATCAGCCAGTGTTCCACTCTTACCCAATTTTCCTCGATACCCAGTAGGAAGTTCAACTCATTTGCCTTTGTTTTAATCTTCAGACCTACAGTTACTGAACAAAATGTACGTCAATAAATGCACGTAGGCATATTGCAAAAGCATACACGAGGTGTACAGACAAGGGTTCAATTAGTGAGTGCACCACAAATGAGACCTTCGTCTTGCTAATAAACTCCTCTCCCTGATTGCTATACCCAATTTGTGTTTCAACACCAGATACTCTTTTCAAGTGAAATAATTTTTGCACAAGATATTTTGTGCACGTTACAAAATGAAAATCAACAAATTTGCTGCCTTTCTGACTCTAGACAGCACTATATGTCTACAAACATAGACTGTAATAAACGTTGTAGTGACCAAAATAGCTAGGTAGAAATAAGTGCTATGTTAGAAAAACAGCAAGCTTGGCTGAACAGATATTAAACATAATTAACTATTACAAAAAATGACAACCAATTTTGTAACTTCTCTACTTTTTCATGATGTTGTAGGAAACTAGAAATTATTGTTGCTTCTTTGTTTCAGGAAACGAACATCATTTTTTTTGTGCCAGAGCCAACAATCTCACTCAGGTAGGAAAACTCAGATTCTAATATGGTTCCTCACTTGTATAATGCTACAGAAAGTGCCACCATCACTTGTTAAATGGGATTTGTTCTCAGGTACAGAGAGGGGGAAACATTAACATGGCAGCTTCATCTTCTCTTTGCATGCTTAGAGTGATTAGCTCCATCCAAAGCCTAGAGACACACAGGGAAGGCTGGGAGGCTTTAATCTAGGTGCAGAAATAAAGTGATAATGGTGAATGAAGCTTTGATGCATCTTGATTCAGAGTTTCAGCCGTCATACTGACCTCTCTACACGTCAAAAGGGTGCAGTATTATCCAAGAAGAAATATCTCTTGTTCTTGGGCATAAAGTGGTAGAAAGAGTCTTCTCATTGTTAGTGTAGTTCCAGGTAGAAGAGATTTTGCTTTGTTCCTCATGTCGGATGCCCTTGGAATGATCCACCAAATGCTCTGTGAGCCTTGGTTTAAATGAGAAAAGGGTAGCTTTATCTGGTACTCGATAGAAATGACACTAATGTCAATGGGTGTCTTTCCACAGGTGGGTTTTGCTGGATAGAGAGAGGAAAAAGTGAGTAGGAAAAAAGTATTTGTAGAAGAGGATATTGTAATTTCTTTTATTCAAGATAAAAGTTTTGTAGATGAAAGCATAGGGTGCAGTTTATCTTTGGGTGCGTTTGGATGCATTCATTAAATATACATGTTGAAGATCCAGTGGTCTTATGCATTTGTTGATTTTTCTTTCCTTTTAACAAATTTGCCCGAAAGCTGTGTTTTTTTAAAAGACATGATTGTTGATGATAAAGCAGCAGCATATGATTATTACAAGGCATGGGCAGAGGAAGAGAACTAGAAGCATACCCATGTTAATGTTTGAGATCAGGCACTTTCCTGCTTAAATGCCTGCGGCTGCCCCGCAGCCCACTCCTAAGCCCTTGCTCCACAGAACCTCCTGCTACCAGAGCTCCGAGTGCCACTTTGGTGACTGCAACGCCTGGAGTGTGCTGTGAGAGAAACAGGGCTGGGGGGAGGTTTGGCTTGGTCAGGACCACAGGAGTTAAGCTGGAAGAGAAAAACAGGTTCCTGTCTGAAGGCAGCTTGTATCTTACCGAGAAATCTACTTGGTTAGGAAAGTTCCCGACACAAATTCATTTTTCCTCTGTCGCTGTTATTACTCCTTTTGATTTGGGAGAAAAAAATAAAAAAAGAGTCCAGTTTCATATTTGGTACAATACAGGAAGTCAGAGAAAAGCTATTGTACAGCATTTTTTTAACCACCAACAACATTTAATATCTAGTGTAGCATTATGGAAAACTAAATGTATGTTTGGACTCTTTAATGCTTCCAAAAGCTTTACTATTGAAACATATACGTGGTGTGGAAGATATGCTCGTAATCTCACTGTAGGAAAGACAACATACCGTGTGACTCATAAGTACTGTAAAAATGCTAACTAAAGAATGCAGCTGCAAAGTTCTATTGCATAAGGAAGCTTTCTTGTTTAAACTTTAAATAAGCAAGTTTATTAAAATATTCTAAGACACTTACCTTACCCTAGTTACTGGCAAGCTCTAATAAAAGCCACAGTCTGTCACTAGTATACTTTTAGTGTTAATTTTATAAAAATTTGGTGTGAGCTTTGATGGATCATTTACAATTTATTAACAAGATGATCATCTTGATACAGTTAGAAGGGTTTTTTTTTAACCTTACATGCTCACAGAATAAAAAAGGATTCGTATTCATATATAATGAACACCCTTTTTTTCCATGTTTGCAAACAAGTGTGGTAAGTTTACACACACAAAGAAATGCTCTTGTCACTCTTGACTGGAAACTGTGTGTACATGTGTATGTATGTATATATATATTCAAAACCATGTATATGTGTGTGTGAGGATATTTATAGAACAGGGCATCCATTCTCCTCTCTGTGCTCACGTATGGAATGGCAGCTGCGCAGAGGCCGAGGGAGAGACCAGTGCTTCTGAGAAATACTTTGCTTTTGCTGTTCTGATCAGCTTCTCCTGTGCAGACATCTACCTGCTGCTCTGCGTCTCCAGAGCTGGCGAAAGACTTAAATTTTGTCAGCTGCCCCGGCAAAGAATTCCCTGCAGGAGCTATACAAGGGAAGCTGCCCTCAGCCTCTGACGCCAGGCGCAGCGCTCCCGTTGCCGTAAATCGTGCCCCGTGCAGTGCCGGTTGCGGCGGCCGCTTCCCACTTGCTCACAACTCAGAACCTCCCAGCGCTGCTCCCACCGAAGCGGGGAGCGGAGCGCCGCTTCCATTTGGGGCATAAGGAAAAGTGTTTTGGATCAGAAACAAGGCAGGGGGACTTACATTTCTTGTTTGCTGAACCTGAGGTACCACAAGCGGCACTGCAGAGCCCCGGGCCGCTCTGCTGGGCGCCAGCAAAGCGGCTGTCGTGGCGCTGTGACTGCAATGGGCTCTCTCCTCCTGGCCACGCTACAAACAGCAAATACAGTAGGTTTAGCCGTGGTAGAACGGTCACAATTCATCTGTGGCTGTGTTAGTCTGCTTCGTCCTTCGCACGCTCCAGATGAATGTTTTACAAAAGCTAAACCTGTCGTATAACTCTTCTCTCTATATAAATATATATATACATACACTCATACATATACAAATACTAACCCACAGACAAAATATTTTCTGAACAGTTGAATAGCGACAAGTCAACAGATAGAAAAAAAATGGAGTCAATCTGTTTTCTGCTCCCCCAAGGTCCAGTTTAGATGTCATGGTCTTTTAACATTCAGAGAAAATTCGCATAAACCTTGCGTCCTGCAAGAGGAATCCGTTAATAAACGGTGGTTAGGGCGGAGGCTGTCAAACACCAATGTACAGTCGGACAGATTAAGTGAGGTTGCAAATTAAACTGAGTCTGGAGCAACTGAGGCCTGGTAGTGAAGAACAGTAACTGTAAACTGCAATCTTCAGATCTGACGTTTTCTTTTTTCTCGTTGCCATGGCAACTCGGTAGGACAGCTTCAAATGTCGGGAGTTCTTACAGACCTAAACGATGGGAAACGCGTGTGATTATTATTACTAAGCAGATCACAATATCTTTTAACTTTTTGCTTTTTTCCCCCCAATCAAATTACTGATTGAGTACATGCACATTTGTCAGTAATTAAATATAAATCATCCAGGTTCAGAAGCAATTATTTTTGAAGACAGAGGTCTCCAAGAGGAAACCCCAAAATGTCACCTGGGGCGTTCAGAGACCTTTGTAGTGCAATGCAGGAAGATGGAGAGCGGAGGTCTGAGCATAAATCTTGAGCCAGGACCTGATTCTCCCCATTTGACACCTTGATCATTTATGGTAGTGCAAGTAAAATGCCAGTGAGTCACTCCCTGGCGTGCACACACGCTGACAAGCAAAGAGCAAACAAACAATAGCTTTTGAAAAATAGCACGTTTCTAGTGCCTTATAGTTCGTGAATATGCCAGGGAATAAGAGAGCTGGCATATCAGATTCATGTTGCTACAGAAATATAAATCTTATATGGACTTTTTTATTTAAAAAAAAATAAAATGAAGATGGCACAACTTGACAGATTTTACCTATTTTAGATGGGCATGCTGATAATACAAAGGTAGTAAAGAAATTCAGAAAAACAGATTAGGAGCAAATGTAACATTAGTTGTAGCTAACGGGTCACTTTCCTCCGGTTTCACTTGGACTCTAGTAAACTGGAAATATTTGGCTTTGCAGTGAAACCTACATAGGAATAGCAGGAATAATATTAGCAAGACACGTAGCTAAACTGGATCTGGCTCCTCTCAGACAAATACATCTGACTTTACTGTGTCAGTTTACTGGTTGTAAAAGCTGGGGGAAAGAGAGAGGAAGGAAGGGAGTTCCCCAGTAACGTTTACGTGTGGTGGAGCACTGCTTTCCTGGAGATGCTGAACACCTGCCTGCCGATGGGAAGGGCTGAATGAATCCTTTATTTCGCTTGGCTTATGCATGCAGCTTTTGCTTTGCCTGTTAAACTGAATTTCTCTCAACCCATGAGTTTTCCCACTTTTCCCCTTCTGATTTTCTTCCCCACCCCACTGGGGGAGCGAGCAAGCCAGCAGCTGTGTGCCGAGCTGCCTTCCAGGGTTAAACCACAACGATGCACTGAAGGATTTATGCTCTCTACCCTGGGAGGAGGCAACTGCGGTACCAAAACACAAAAATGCGAGTTGAACATACACATCAAAACTCATAAACACTCAGGAAAAGTCTAATATATGTTGCATTTGGACATGTAAATGATGCAATACCGATAGTTTCGTCACAACCACAGACACACACAGCATAAACACTAAACTAATGGTCATTATTGGCTTGTGCTCTTTACTCATTGTTAATTATCTGCTTTTCTTTTTGGGTGAATCAAGTTTAAGATAATTATTGAGAAAGCTATTTTACTTTATCTATGTTTTGGGTTTTTTTTTCTTCTTGTTATCTTGGTGTCATTTAGATTGACTTCAATATTAAATTCTTCCAGCTAGAGGCCTGTCCAGATGGGCTATGCAGCAAGGCAGGCACCTGGATAGCACGCAACAGCCTGTCTTTTCCCCTGCAGCATGACTTCAGTTCTGTTAAAGAAAGGTAAGTAAAGCAAATTCAGTAAGCGTAAGAATCCATAGAGGGACTGATGGATGGGGCTCACTGAAGTGAGAAGTATCACTGAGATTTCCAAATAAGATGAATTCTGGAATTGCTTGTCATGTGGATTTTTAGTATGCTGTTTAAAGAAAAGGTTTGGCCACAAAATTAGGATCCAGACTTACATATAGGAAATTTGTGATCATGACTGCCAAAGTTTGGATACGTTTGGATTAGGGATTCCAGCAAGGACTAAATTCTCATAAACAAATCGATCTCCTGAGGTAGTGAAAAGCAAGAGTTCAGGACTCTGATTGCACAGACCTTCTGAAAAATAGCATTTCCAGGTCACAATGAAGCTTAGTATCATTAAAGAGCATTTGTTCAATCCTGACTCAAAGGAATTTTGAATGGCAAAGCTACTCTGAATCTTTAGGAGATCCCTGGAGGCCTTCCTACAAGGACAGGAATTTGTATATGATGAATGAACAGCTGCTGTATCACTGAATTTCTGTACAATCCATAGACTGAAACTTTACCAAAGGAACCCGTCAGCAGAAAATTTATAAATAACACAGAAATTTGAGCAGGTAGTGACTGCTTCACCAACATCTTGTAAATAAAAGGCAATATATGTTGATTTATGTGCAGACCTGAAGAAAAGCTTGTATATTTTACATCATATTGACAGGTATAATGAATGTTACTACCTCATCATACACCTTGCCTTTTCTGAGTAAACTATGTATTAACACTAGTTAGTTCAGCTTTAATTATCAATGTGCTTTTTCCTATGCCAGTTTTTCATCTGTTGAGGGCGAGCTTCTCTGTCACAGTAGGAGCATGCTTTTCATTCTGCCTCTTATCGCACTTGCCTCTTCAAGCACCCCAACCCTTCCCCCTTTCATCTCAAAGCTCTGCACTCCCTGCCTAGACTTTCTTTCTATTGAAATTGCTTCTCAACTTCATCCTTTCTGACCTATCAGTTGCCTTCGACCCATTTAATCACGTGCCTGGAAACGTGGTGCTTCCCTTGGCTCCTGTGACTCCTCCAGTCACTTTTCCAGAACGTCTTTCTGTCTCATTCCCGCCGTCCCCAGTTTCTGAGGAAGCCTTCCCCCCTCCGCCCCCAGCTTAATTTCTTGCCTTTCTCTGTGACATCATTCACACGTGTTCAGGAACCCCTTCAGTGGGAACAGCTCAGAGATGTTACTTTCTTTACCGGCTTTTCCATTAGACTGAAATGTCAACCTCTAACTGATAGCTTTTTGATGTTTAGCTGGCAGCTCTGCACAGCTAAAACTCACCTCTTAAATCCTTCCCCTAAAGCACTCCCTTCTAGTTCTTCCTTTGACTGCTCAGGACAACACTATCATCCTGCCTCTTATTCAAGCCTAAAAACAGAAACAAACTGGAGAAGGTTTTTGTCACAGAATCTCCTTTCTAGGTCTGTATATTTAGGTTATGACTTAATCTAGTGGGTTCTTTTTCACCCACGATCTCAAAGGGCTTTTTGTAGCCATTCAGGCAGCTGAATCTCCTACCCAGGTTCTCCTCAGCTGGCAGTTTTGCAACATCTTTTCACAGCCCTTGACAAATACAAGCTACCGAGCTCGTAACCTGCCAGTCTGTTGCTGCACAGAGCGTTTTCCTCGTCTGCCACTTTGACAAAACCTCTGTTGCTCTGACTCCTTCATGGCCTCTTCTCTGCTGCACATATTTTGCTGGATTACCCCTACATGACCTGTTTTTCCTCTTATTCATAGCCCATGATGACAGCTCTCATTGACGTGTTTTCAAAGGAACCTGTTTGGAATTTTTCCCAGGCTTTCCCATGTGATAGGAGGAGCTCACTGCAAGCATCCATAAAATGCTGTCTCTTTAACATCTGTTTTTGCTGACACATCTACAGAATATCTTGGCATTGGCAAAGGGTGTCAACACTGCTATGAATTCAGCTCAGCCCTTTCACTAGTCTTAACTGAAGTTGCATTAAAAGAATTATCTTATTCCAAACGTTTTTTGGAAGGATAGCATATACCCTTCTGCTCATTAATGATGACTTGACCCTTTTGTAAAGGTGGATTGCTAAAGGAATAGTTTTTGGCTTTAAAAATCAGATTCAACATTCAAAATTATGGGCTGTAAAATATCAGTAGATAACCATCTTTGGTAGATCCAGTAAGAATATTCAAGATCAAACCTGTGTTTGTTCTTTCTATTGCACACAAAGTTGATACAGAACTGCATACGTGCAATAGAGAAGTTAGTCTACCTTTAATCAAAGTTTATCAGTTACAAATTTCCTTTCTAAAAATATTCTGATATAGTCGTATAAGGTGTTATTGGAGAAGCATTCTGGCCAGTAACTCCCTAAATACAAAATCTACAGAAATCAAGACCAACCAAAGCATTGTGCAGAAAACTCCATGATGAATGTAAGGAGATCTACTGAAATCAACAGAACTGCTCTATTGTAAATTCTTCCAGGATCTGATAAGCATCTTATCCATATAAAAAACCTCTCTGGTCTCTCAGCTGGACTTCCAATGGTCATTACTGTTTTCTATTTGGGAATTGTAGTTTTCTTGCTTGCCTTTTTTTTTTTTTTTTTGCTTTATTCTGCCCATAAAGAAGGAGCAAATTAAAGTTCCAGAAATACACACACACACACAGTCAAATTATTAGAGTCTACTTCTTGTTTGAGTCCCATCTTTGAACTTAAAGGCTACTGGATTCTAGTGCTTATCCACTGACCGCAAGAGGATTGATGGTTTGGTTTGGGTTTGTGTTTTTTTTCCTTCTTTCTTTTTGGACCGATTTTTATGTATTTTATATCACGCATGATTTAAAATTTGCAGCTGGCAACAGCACATAAAAAATATTACTATTTAAGGAATACTGAAAGCATAAAATGTGCAAATAATGTATATGTGCAGGTAGCACATTTGCTGATCCATGCTAACTGTCTCTTTTAGGAACTTAATGCCCTGGTAAGCCTGTGCCTGGCAGGTTTAGATGTGTACACTAATGATCATTATGCCTGGTAATTATTTTATTGTCTTTGTATTGGCTGTTGAGAACAACACTGTGGCCATAGCTGGTCTCAGCACTCAAGAATTATTACACACCATGTGTTGTTTTAAACGTGATTTCTACCCACCTACAACAAGTAATTTGCTGCATATGGCTGCAGGCATGAAAGCCACAAAGGCAGTGGATGCATCACTGTTCTGACGTGGCCACCCCCCCTTTTCTTTTAAGGTGTCCAGGGCATGCACGAGCAGCATAAAGCTAACATAGCTGTATAGAACTTCTTTCTCTAGAAATCACTCTCACTGAAGTCTCTAACATGATCTTCACCGTTTTTATCTTGCAGTTCTCCTCTGCTCTGCCTCTTCGACACTCGAGA